GACCATGAATTTTCTTTAAAAGAAATAGTCCTCAATTTCGTATACAAAAATATCATTGCTAAATCTTCAGGACATACTACTATTGATCCAAGAATGTTACATAAACAAGCTATACTAATGACTGAGCACCTACTATGTGTCAAGTTCTGTTCTGTTCTTTGAATGTTTTCTGGCTCGTTAATTTAATCACCACAGTCAGTCTTTTGGTGATTGCTTTCTGGGGAATAGGTGGTAGATGTGCTGTGGCTGTTTCAATACAGTCCTGTCACCACTCCTAGGAAAAAAAGAGTCCCTACAAATATTTCACCTTAGCACTTTGGCCATGGACGTCAGCTCATCAATTCAGGGTGATGAGCCGCACCTGGTGTTCCAAGTGGGTGCTCCCCATGTTCCTGTTTTCTTAGAGGGTCACCCTTTTATTTTGTTCTCATTCTTTATGTTTCAAAAATAGAATCAGGTTTTACATAGGGATTTTTATACTTCCCCAGAGTGCCTATTCTCCAAGGTGTGTGCTTTTAATTATTTTGTTCCATTTCCTTCCTTTGAAATGGAAATTATGGATCCCAACACATCCAGAGTTTGTTCTGAACTTATATTGATGAACACTAACTTGACTGGACAGAGCATGAAATATATTTTAAAGACTTTTTTTTCATAGCTCATTATAGCTTTCTTAAAATCAGATTATGAGATTAAAAAGTAGTTGCCTGGAAAAACAGTGATTTTACATGTTAGATGCTAATGGGATGGGGCTGTGGTGAAGCCACTGTTGAATACCACAGGAGTTCGGCCTGCATGGAGACATGAAAAACTCCCAGGACCATTTTTATGTGAATGTTATTATTGAACAAACTCACTTTGATTTTATCTCTTCCTTAGGACTCTGCTGGAGAATGCATCAGATAGCTACTGAAATTTTGAAAGCAAATGCCATTTTTACTCCGACTGATCAACTGACTGTCAGTCATTCATGTATGAGTCTCATACAGAATATATACATGTGGGAGAATATCCTTCTATTATCTTTAAAGATAAATGATTCTCAGCTTATTTATATTAGATACATGCTTATAGAGCAATCTATTATGTTGTATTAATATTTTAGTTTTAGGAATATTGACACATGCTCTGTACATTTGTTGTGTAACATCTCTCAGAAGTTCAAACAGTGATTTTATTCATGCTTAATGTGCGCTCACTGCTTTGTCTACTCTGTGACAAAGCAATATCCTGAATATTTGATATTCTTACAAGATGTAGGATAGACCAATGGAATATATATAGCACTCAGAGCTCCAGAGAAAGGTATGATAGAAATATTGTTGCAATATTGTAGGGAAAGCTGAAGTGGAAATAGTTTTAGGGGACATTACTGCATTTTCTAAGGTCATACCTTATTAGTAATTCATTATCATTTAGAATACAAAGTCATCTTGTACTTCTTGCATTCAGGATAGCTCCAGCATATTTTCAGTACCTCCTCATAAACTTTACTTCTGATTTCTGATCAATTAGTGAACCCACTTTGGGCACTAATTACCTCCAACTCTGCACTAGGTCATCTACAGAGTACAGTTGATGCTGTACTCTGTAGGGGGTTAGGAGCACAGGCTTCTGTGCAGTCAAAAATTTGTATATAACTTTTGATTCCCAAAGCTTAATAATACCCTACTGTTGATTGGAAGTTTTACTGAAAACACAGTGAATTAACACGTTTTATATATTATGTGTATTATATACTGTGTTCTTGCAATAAAGTAAGCTAGAGAAAAGAAAATGTTATTAAGAAAATCATAAGAATGAGAAAACACATTTACAGTACTGTACTATATTTGATACTGTTAACTTATGTTTTCTGTTTATAAGATGAATCAGCTGTCAGTACCTACATATATATTGTCTGATATGATACAAAACATTGATGCTATTGGTTTGGCCAAAAGGTTCATTTAGTTTTTTCTTTAAGATGGCTCTAGTAGAGATTTGACAGCTGTTATATCAGCATGCATTAAAAAAAACTTATCAAAATTGGTGAATTTTTGTGTATTCATTTTGATATCAAAGGTAGAAGAAAATATGCAACATTTTTGGCATATTTTTATGCTTTATTATTTTAAGACAGGCAAAAATACACCTAAAACACAAAAAAAGATTTGTGTAGTGTATGGAGAAGGTGCTGTGACTGATTGAATGTGTCAAATGTGGTTGGCCAAGTTTTGTGCCAGAGACTGTTTGCTTGGATGATGCTCCATGGTCAGGTAGACCCACTGAAGTTGATAACGATCAAACCAAGACATTAATTGAGAACAGTCAACTCTAGACCACATGGGAGAGACCCACCATACTCAAAATATCCAGACCAATGAAATGATTGGTAAAAATTAAAAATGTATCTTTTATTTTATGGAAGAAAACCACACAGATGTTTTGGCCAACCCAATATATGTGTTACAAATACTAAATGTCAAATATGAAAAAATAATGTGGGGAAAGGCAGAAAACTGGACTTGAACAGCAATAAATTTTTTTAAGAACCCTTTACTTATGGCAGTGTCTGTTTTAAATACCTCGTAAGAGGAAAAAAAGAAACTTCTAAGACAAAGGAAAAATGCTGCCTGTATCTCATTTAGGAGAAAGTCGTGCATTAAATTTCACTTTTTTAAATTAAAAAGAAAAAGATAGTATGAAAAAGAAATGCATATTTATTTTTAGGTGTGACAAGTTATGCATTAATAATGAAGAAGCAGCAATATGATTACTTTATGGTAACCTAGTACAATCAATATAATTATCTCAAGGCAGTAAGGAAATCTCCATAAATTTCTCTGGTGTATTTATTTCTAATACTCCATGTATAAGCGGAGAATGGGGCATATTTCCTATTTGGGCTAATAAGATGCATAATAATAATAAAAAGGCAAAATTAAAACTTTTGAGCCACAATATTTCCATGAAAGTGTTATGAAAGTTGAGATATGGCAAGGTCACTTCCAACTTGAGGAAGAGATTCCTCTTCCTGAATGTCTCCCATTGCCAGGCTTATCCACTCAGAGATGTTGTTTGTTTGTTTGTTTGTTTTTGCTTTTAGAAAGAGAAGAAGGGAGGGAGGGTTTAGAGAGAGGGGAAGGGAGGAAGAAAGAGAGGGAGAAAAACATTGATTGGTTGTCTTTTGTATGTGCCCTGACTAGGGACTGAATGCACAAACCTAGACATGTGCCCTAACTGGAAATCAAACCCATGACCTTTTGGCTTGCAGGATGATGCCCAACCAATTTAGCCACACCGGCCAGGGCTGGAACCTTTATTTCATATATGAAAAATTTTACCCGAGTGTGTTGAACTATTTCACTCATCTCTTCTTTTTACCTTAGTTCTCTTCTTGTCCAAAGTAGAACAGCATAGTGCTTTCTTTTGTACACTCATGCTTATACTGCTTCCCAAGCATTACTATTAAAACAGAAATACTCTCAAACCTGCCAAGTATTTTTTTCTTCCATTTTTTAAGTGACTCCTGAAATTTCACCTTATGCAAAAAATCTTGATCAAAGAAGTAGATTTGGATTTTCCTGCTGCTCAAAATTGACAACAAACACTGATTTTCTTCCCCTGATTTCCTGAGACATCTACTCAGTAAGTTTGTTTAGTACTTTTTACATGGCAGAAACATAAACATATCTGGAATGAATTTTTCAAACACTGATAAAGGAGACATGTATATGAAGATTAGATTACAATATGATATAATAAATGCTATAATATCAGTGTTTGTTTGATGTGCATTGGGAACAGAATAGAATGCCTAGCTCTGGAGGAGCTGAAGAGCAGGGCTGAGCCATAAAAAAAAAGAGAGGAAAAGTCACCAAAGGAAGGAACCTGTCTGCACAGAAAGACATAGAAGCAAGGGAAAATGTGCAGATTCCAGTCAGATTGTGACATACCCTGAATTCCATACCATGACAGCTGGGTTTAAGTAAGATAATGCATGTCAAGTGATTAATGCAGGGATTATAGATTATATACAGAAAACAAGAAAAAATATTAGCTGTTGTTGCTAGAAATTCTATTGTTTTTCATCATAATAATCTAGTAAGAAATCAGGAGTCATTGGAGATTTTTAAGCATAGAAATGAATGAGTAGATATTCTAAGGAAAATTGCTATAGAATCACTTTGAAAATAGAAATACTGTCTCTTTAGATAGAATGTGAATTGTAAGGAGAGCAATTGGAGGGTAGATGATCAGTTGGCAATTGTAACAGTACTGTAGGAAAGATATAATTAGATTCCAATGACATGGGTGTGAGAATTAACCTTTTCATATCTCAGTTTCTTCATAGATATTTGTATTATAATAGCATCTAATTCATAGGATTTCCATGAAGACTAAATAAATTGATATTTTCAAAGCTATTATAACAGTGCTTTGAAAGTACTACATGTTCTTAAATAAAATTCACACAGATGAATATTGCTCGTATGCTTTTTACTTATGCATGAGTCCTAGACTGTTGTGATTGGATATGAGGTGTAGCTATGTCAATTCCTCTGAATAAGTGCTGATAAAGAACTGCTCATTTCAGATGATAATAATTATAATATTCAACAGTTGTCTATTCAATGATATCAGAGTAGAGATAAGTCTTACTCTTCTGAATCAAGTATGCAATAACACCTTTACTACTTTTTGTCTGGTTGTCTTTAATGATGTCAAAATCTTTTATATGCATAACATGTACTAGTCATGGTGGTACATCAGGGGTAAACATATTTTGATAGTTATGTGCATATAACTATAAAAGGATTTTATTGTTATCATCAAAGATTCTATTAGAACTCAAATTTGTTCCCAAGAAGAGACAGTAACCTACAGCAGATGCATCATTAAATCAAATTATAGATATGGGCAAGTACATTGTGATGCATACTTTGGTAACATGCTACTCTTAAGTCTGATTAAATTAATCACCTACTTATTTATTTATTTATTTATTTTTGTTTACGGAGTGTGGCAGAGTTGTAGACACAGGCACCAAGACAAATGGAAAACAGCCTGTCTGGATTTCCTCTTCTCTTACTGTGGCACCATCTGTCATTAATCACTTTTTGAAAAAAAAAAATTTTGGTTTAAAACACTTGCTTGATTTTATATTAAAAGACTTGCTTGACTTGTTTTAATATCCAGACTTAAGTGTTTTAATATCCAGACTTGTTTTAATATTCAGACTTTAAGTGCTCATTTAGAATAAAATACTGTCAGAGGTCTTATTCAGGTTCATTTGGCCTAAAATTCTTTAGATCACTCTTTCTCTGGCTTTTCATCACCATTTGTATATTCTAAATTAGGGTTTCTCAACTTCAGAATTATTGACATTTTTTGTCAGACAATTCTTTGTTGTGTTGTCTGATCTGTACATCGCAAGATATTTAGTTTAGCCACATCCCTGGCTGCTACCTACTGGATACCAGTAGAACCCCTCTGCCCTGTTGTGACAACCAAATACATATCTGATATTGCCAAATGCCTCCTGAGAGGGTGGGTGCAGTGGGATGGAATAAGGATTACCCCTAAATAAGAACAGCTCTTCTAAATGATGATTAACAGATACAAAAAGTTGTAATTTCCGTGAGTCAGGCATCTAAAATATCAGTAAGTTCAGAGTTCATCTGAACAATTTCAAATATTTTTACTAGCTTTCTTCAGGTAATAAATTTATCTCTTGGGGAATAGTATGATAAACTATATTTTTCCAAATCATTTTGCTGGCTTATTAATATTTTAGGCATTCCATTTGGAAGATTTCTAACAAGCAAAACCTGAAGTACCATCTGGTTGACTACGATGCTAATTTCTTCATTTCTGTGTTCAGCCACAGGAACATTGTGCTTTTTGAAAAACAACATCTCTTTCTACATTTGTTTTTTTTTGAGAATTGCTTAATGTAAGCCTATTCATATCATACGAGGTCTGTCTGGAGAAAGTCTAGCCATTGTTAATATAACGAGAACAGTTTGTGGAACCTTGATGTAACCTGGCAGTCAAGGAGAGTGGACTGGAATGCACATGCATGAACAATGACATCTTCACTCTCCTAATCAGTGGGGGTGGCAGATGCCCTTGAGTGAGCATGTGTACTGTGTGGCCTTCACATTCAAAATGACTGAGCAAGTAAAACAATGAATCTGTGTTAAAATTTTGCAGTAAGCTTTAACATTCCTGCATGGAAACTATTCAGATGATTCAGAAAGCAGCAGGTATGGGTAACTGATGATAGGTGTTTTGTCACAACAGTGCGCCTGCTCATGCATCATGTCTCGTGCAAAGTTTTTTTGGCAAAACATCAGATCAGTCATCTTGGAGACAGTAATGTCATCTCCCAGAATTTTGAGTGCATTTCTTTCATGAAAATCTTATCTCCTACTCTTGACCCTATATTTATACTCATCTCTAGGTCAAGGCTGGACTTAATACCCACTGATCAAAGAGCTCAGTCCCCCTACAGCCCAGATTTGGTGCCCTGGGACTTCTGGCTCTTCCCAAAACTAAAATCACCTTTGAAAGGAAGAGATTGCAGACCATTGATAAGATTCAGTAAAATATGATGGGGCAGCTGATGGTGACTGGGAGAACTGTGTGAGGTCCCAAGGTGCCTACTTTTAAGGGGACTGAGGCATCGTTGTCCTATGTTCAATGTTTCTTGTATCTTCTTCAATAAATGTGTTTATTTTTCATGTTACATGGCTGGATACCTTTTGGATAGACCTCTTATTCACAATGCCAAGGACTAGAGTGACATTCAGTCAATATTTGTTGAATATACGAATGTATGAAACAATGGGCCTCACTCATGTTTTTCTATGGTAAAAGAAGTACCTTTCAATTTCTTTAGAAAAGGATCTGCTTCTTAATTGAAAACAAATGAAGTGCTTATCCTCCTCCAGATCTAGTTAACAAGTAAACAATTCCAAGGTACTTTTTATCTTTATCAAAAAGGTAGGTGTCTAGTTTATCTAAAAATAATTGTAAAAGCATTAGATATGAAACCAATAAAGTTATAACAAATATATATTTCATTTTCCAAATGAATTAGAATCATGATAAGCTGTTTTTCTTCGTAGTGAAGTAGTACCTGATTATCAGGTCTTCTCCTAGGTGGATATTTGGTCTAGACTATTTCACTGTGATATTTAACTTTAATATGAATATCTTCTTTACCCCCTTCACTAGCCCACATGGCTTGTTACTTTAAGTGTCTTAGAACACAGTGGATCAGAGAATACTTTTCGTACTGTACACTTTTCAACCCTTCATTTTGTAAGATAAAGGAAGGTACTTGGGATGCATCTCTGGATTGTAGTTTGACAATAAGCATCCAAATAACACTTGATTGAGAAAATACACTACTGATATATTTAATACTGGCTTTACTAATTATCCCAAATGTAATATCTCAGTCTCCCCCCCAAAATTCAGAGCTCTCTATGATTAGAAATTGTCTAATTATGATTATATCATGTTATCTAGTATAAAAATAGAGTCAGAAGTCACTAAGCAATATCTAGATTCCCTTCCTGAATGGTATTATTTTATGGATTTGATTATATAAGGATCACTAGGAAACTTATTCTAAAGACCGAGAGTCTGTCTATTGTCTAATAGGCACTTGGAAAATTTTGTCCAAAGAAATAAGAAGTGAATGAATATTTGGCCTCAGGGTTTTTTATTTGCATAAGTGCAGGAATTATTTTCCATAATCAAGGTAATACCTTGATGAAAACCCCCTTCAAGGGTTTGAAGGGGGGAAATAGAACAACTGTAATGGCATAATCAATAAAATATATTTTTTAAAAAAGGTAATACAGGGTTTTAAAAATAGCTTTTATGCAGTTTGGCAGTATTCTATAATTTTCTAGAAACACAAATCATATGGGCCAGATTATTGGGCTCCCTTTTTGTGTAAAATTCTGCCTTTCTTTTTTTTTATCATGTACGTGTTAAATGTATCTGTAGGACCTTGTGGGTTAACTCTTTGATCAGTGGTCATGAAGTCCAGCCCTGACCTAGAGGTAAATAAATGTAGGATCAAGAGTAGAAGATAAGATTTTCATGAAAGAAATGCACTACAAATTCTGGGAGATGATGTTATTGTTTCCAAGATATGTTGATGGCATATTTTGTTCACTGTTTTGTCCCTAGCACTTAGAACAGTGTCTGGAGCATAGGAGACTCTCAATGAATATTAGTGAATGAACAAATAAGTGATATAGAAGAACATATGTTCTCTAAGCACAGGGATTTGACTAGCATGGGTATGTGTGTTGGAGGAATTAGGAGTATATTCTTACTCATGAGTGACATTCCAGTACTAACTGATTTGCAGCTTCTCTAAATCATTTTGATTTTAGGCTGATAATTGTAGGAAAACAGAAGCATCTCAATACCTAATATTTTATTTCTGGCTTCAGAGATTATTTATGTTTTATTAAATCTTTAATGTAGGTATTCCAACTATCTTTGCTTTAAATGCAGGGGTGGGCAAAAGTAGGTTAATAACAATAATAAATAAATAAATAATACAAGATTAAACTCTTTGTTTTACATACTCAAAACTGTAAATCTACTTTTTCCTGTATAAGCCAATAACTATGCTAATTGCTTTTTCGTTAAATACTCATATTCATGGTTTGTTTTTTTTTCTCACAACAATCCTATGAGTGAGTTTTTATTTCCTCCATCTAACAAGCGAAGAAACAAAAGCTAGTCAAATTTGTGCAAGATCACTTGTACAAACTAGGAAGTACCAGTTCCGGGACTTCAACCCCAGACTTCTCACTTAGAAGTCCATCCCCTTTCTATATCATGCTGTATCATTGATCAATTTCTTTTAAAAAAATAATTAGCATCTATTAACTGTAGAGTCCTAGGTCTTGCAGAGCTCATATACTATCTGTATAGTAAAATTGCAAAGCACAAATGGTTATCAAGTCACAGTAATAATTCAACCATGTAAAGTGGAAATGGAGGTTATGGATACCATTGTTTTCATGAGTCAGTTTTGAAGTCATAATGTGAAATGAATTGTGATTAAAACATTTAGAAATATATGGTAGTACATTGGTTCATCTTTTGTCTTTTTGTGAGTGATACGTGTTTTACTTATGGTCTTTGTGGGAAAATAAAATTCACTCTAGATGGTTAAATTGAAGAACTTTTAAGAAATACATTCCTTGTCAGGGCAGAGAATGGCAGGATGATGCTGTGGGAGTGAGGGCTATGGATGGTAGATGGAGAGTAACTGACACACGTCCTTACACAGAATCGTATGACTAAGTTTTGAAACATTATCTCTACCTGTATCTATAATCATGTTTATCTTTATAATTTTCTTCAGATAGAGTGTACGGTACCACTGGAGAATAAACTTGACATTGTAAAAACATCACTTTTTATCTATACCCTGCAGAATTTAATCTGTTCATGAAAGACTATATAATATTTAATACCAAACATAATGTTTTGTGACCTTTGAAGGAAAAACTACAAACTGTGATTACACCATAAACATTTGAACATCAGCATCTGATAACAGTGTTACTCATGATCTTGCCACATGAAAACATGGTATAACCATTCTTACTCTGTCACTGCTAAGAAATCTCAACAAATCCCTAGTGTATAATGCTATTTTTACATTGCCCACTTCTTTCTGTCAGTGATGGAAAGCTGAATTTCCTGAATGCTTTCTAGTCACTGATCAGTGGTAGCTCCCAATAGGCAAAGCCAATTCTGTCAGCAAAAGGCACTGATGTGGGAGAAGAAACCTCTCTGCTAAGTCCCTGGGGTGACCCCTGGACCATCTTCAAGACATGGCTGTGTCTTTTGCTTTCTAAGTGTGAGATGCTATAAAAGTATAAATAAATGTTCTAACAGATAGTCTGAGGCAAAATACATAGTGAGGATGTTTAATGGAGAGTTTAAAAAATAGCTTCTAGTTATATTTATGTGTGGGCATATAGTATTAATTCTAAAGTGAAGTGTTTCCCATTAAGCAAAGAAACATCCATATAAACCCTCATTTTAGGAGAGAAGATTTTTTTTAAGATTTATTTTTTTTTATTTTTAGAGAAG